CCAGGTGTGGTGGTGCGCACCTGTGGTCCCAGCTACCCAAGAGGCTGAGATTGCAGTGAACCGAGATCATGCCACTGCACTCCAGCCTGGTGGCAGAGCGAGACTCCATCTCAAAAGAAAGAAAGAAAGAAGAAAGAAAGAAAGAAAGAAAGAAAGAAAGAAAGAAAGAAAGAAAGAAAGAAAGAAAGAAAGAAAGAAAGAAAGAAAGAAAGAAAGAAAGAAAGAGAAAAGAAAAAGAAACAGCACTTATGACATGCTCAGCTCAGAGCATGGACCATCATGGTACCTCATAAATGTTTACTGTTATTAGTGTAATACTATGAAAGCAAGAACTTCTCTACATTGTCTGGTTTACTCCCACAAACAAATATAAGTCTAAATGACTCCTACACTATACTCTATTATCTTTCTCCCTTACCTCAATGGAACATGCAGCACATTCTTCTTTATGCAAAAATTTAGAACCTTTAAGCACATCATAAGTTATGAGAATTTCACTCACAGTTTCACCTTTGTTGAATGTGAATTATTTTAATTCCTGCATATTCAAACTCTCTCTTTTCAATGAATTATTTGATCTTATCATCCAACTTAAAAATCTTGCCAGAAGCTGGGCATGGTGGCTCACACCTACAATCCTAGCACTTTGGGAGGCTTAGGTGGGTGAACTGCTTGAGCTCAAGAGTTCAAGACTTGCCTGGGCAACAAGGTGAAACCCTGTCTCTACTAAAAATACAAAAAATCAGCTGGGCATGGTGGCGTACGCCTGTAATCCCCGCTACTCGGAAGGCTGAGGCACAAGAATTGATTGAACCCGGGAGGCAGAGGTTGCAGTTGGCTGAGATCACGCCACTGTACTCCAGCCTAGGCGACAGAGAGAAACTGTCTCAAAAAAACAAAACAAACAAAACAAAAGGCGAAAACAAACTTACCAGGGTCCCACACTTCCTTTCAGCGACCATCTCATTTCTATGAATTTCTTAAATATTCAAGCTTCTTGAAAAGATTTTATACACGTACTGACAATACTTCCTCAATTCCTCAGTCTCTCCTTAAACTTTTACAATTCAACACTAAAAGTGTTCATTAATTCACTTCCATAATGCCAAATCCAGTACTTTCATTCTCCTCTCATTTGAACTTTCAGTAACATTAAACATAGTCCACTATTCCATCCTTCTTGAAACACTCTCTTCTGACTCCTGTGACAGCACACTCTTGAAATTTTTTCTGTCTACCCATTCCCTTTTAATCCCTTTGGGGACTCCTTATTTATCTTTTACATATTAAAGCTTCTTAATTTTGTATCCCCTATACACTTTCTTTTCTTGTTCTATCTTCTCTTTCATGGAATTTTAATATAGCAATTTCTACATACTAAGTGTGCCATAGTGGGAAGACCCTTTAACCTCCCTGACCTTACTAAGATTCTTCATTTATAAAATGTATAATGTGTTCTTTATACTTATACAATACCTAATTTCTACAAGACTCAATTTCTTCATCTGTGAAATGGGCAATAAATTCTTAAGAGACAATGAGATCAAAGATGTAGAGAGACATATTAAAATATACATTTTTCTTTTTTGGGTCTCACTCTATCGCCCAGGCTCAAGTACAGTGGCACAATCTCAGCTCACTGCAACCTCCATCTCCTGGGTTCAGGGGATTCTCATGTCTCAGCCTCCCAACTAGCTTGGATTACAGGTGTGTGCCATCACACCATTCTAATTTTTGTATTTTTAGTAGAGACAGCATTTCACCATGTTGGCCAGGCTGGTCTCAAACTCCTGATCTCAAGTGATCCTCCTGCCTCAGCCTCCCACAGTGCTGGGATTATGGCATGAGCAACTGCGCATGGCCTAAAATTTTTTTTTTTATACTGGTCTCCAGTCTACATGGTTTGGTAGCCCTGCCATGAATCTATCTAATTCTTTTAAACTAAGAAGTCTATCTTGAATGTCATATTCATGTTGTACGCACGCTAGCGAGTCTCAAAACTTTTTCACTTTTCCACTGTTGACAGTGGAATGTTTCTCAAAGAACTGCTATGACCTAAGTTTCTTAAGGAGCCCATATATGGTAGATTCTTTCAAGATTCAGGATGCATCTTCCATACTGTACTACCATAATGAATGTCATGTTTTGCCACTTTTGAGGGGAGAACAAAGGATTTAATTTCTAAAGCCTAAAAAGGAAGATCTTTAGGCTTCTGAAGATGGTAATCAGAAGTATCTTTAACATCTCCATCTCTCTCACCACCCTGTCTAACCCATCATCAAGTTTGGTGTATTTTCTCTTCAAATTATTATGACAAATTATTCCATTTCTATTTGCATCCACTTACAACACCCTCACCCAGAATATCTTCATTTGCTCACTGGACTCTTATAAATATATCTCTTGTCTTTTTCGAACCCACTCAGCCAGTTCTCCACAGACCAGTCAGAATGACCTTGTAAAAATCAAAGTAAAATTCGGTCGCTCTGAGGCTGAAATATCTGCAGTGAGTTTTCATTGCTTTAATAATAAAGTTTAAAATCCTCAGTATAGACTAAAAGATCTGGCAATGACCCAGCCCCTGCCTACTTTTCTGGCTTCATTTTTAAAAGTCACTCCTCTCCTTAATAAGTGACTTCCAGCCACACTAACCTCTCTATTCTCCAGGATTTCCAAATTCCTTCTAGTCTTCCTTTTTTTTTTTTCATGTGATGTTCTCTCTGTATCCCCACGTTGCTTAGCCCTTGCTTTCCTTTGCATTCTAGTTTAAATGTCAACTCTCTCAATGAGGCCTTCTCTGACTCCACTAGTAGGGTATATATCTCTACACACATATGTATATATGTTAGATACATAGTCTTTCCCAGGATACTATAAGTGCCATGACAGCATGGTATTCCATGGAACATAATGTTTCCTTTATTTGTTAATTGACTAAATCTGATGTGACATTCATATTTATTTCCTTCCCATAATAAAGATTACTGGAGTATAATGTGACAAGCATGTTCTGAACAATACTCTGCTTTTTTCCAAAGGAATATGAATTTCGGAATGAAAGGCAGGTTGTGTTGAACGAAGCCGACTAATATCCTCCCACCAAACTTTTAGTAATTGGATGACAGGGACTCTTATTCATTTTTATCTCCTCTTTCATTTAAATATCACCATAGTTCAGTCTCAGACTTAGATATTAACTGATAAAACACTATATTTTATTTATAGAAATATGGTCCACAGAGATCTGATAAAGAGTATCACTTTCCTACTTCTGAATTTTTATTTACAAACTCATTTTCAACCCTATTTAGGTTTTGCAGTAATCTATACTCATAATCTGTGGTCTCCCTGCAGAAATTTCAGTATTTACTAACATCTATTTATTTAACAAAATTGTATTGAGGGTCTACTCCAAGAAACGGAGATCATCTCTGAGGAATACAAACTGTAAGTAAAACCAAACACTATCCCTACCCTCAGGGAGCATGATCTGATGGGGAAGAAATACTTTAATCAAATAATCCCACAAATGGATGAAAGACTGAAATTTGGCTACATACTACAAATAAGTGATCTGGTGGCTCTATGGGAGCCTATAAAAGCCTATAATAGATTTTTATCCAGTCACAGCAGTCAAGAAAGACTTCCCTGAATATGGCAAGGATAGATAGGCAAAGAAGGAGCGAAACAGCAATTCATGCAGAGAGAAGAGTATGCACAATATAGTGGATTTCTCTGAAGACTGAAGTCTTTTTTTTTTTTTTTTTTTTTTGAGACAGAGTCTCACTTTGCTGCCCAGGCTGGAGTGCAGTGGCATGATCTTGCCTCACTGCAACCTCCGCCCCCCAAATTCAAGCGATTCTCCTGCCTTAGTTTCCCAAGTAGTTGGGATTGCAGGTGCCTGCCACCACGCCCAGCTAATTTTTGTATTTTTAGTAGAGACAGGGTTTCACCATCTTGGCCAGGCTTGTCTTGAACTCCTGACGTCGTGATCCACCCGCCTCTGCCTCCCAAAGTGCTGGGATTATAGGCGTGAGCCACTGTGCCCGGCCGACACTGAAGTCTTAATATATACATTCCCCCCACCCAGATTTTCAGTGAGGACCAAATTTCTTCATAAAGGTTTTTATTCTCATTTCAGAGTTGCTGCAACTAATGGCAACCAAGAAGCCTGGAGGTCGGGCGCGGTGGCTCACGCCTGTAATCCCAGCACTTTGGGAGGCTGAGGCGGGTGGATCACCTGCGGTCGGGAGTTCGAGACCAGCCTGACCAACATGGTGAAACCCCGTCTCTACTAAAAATAAAAAATTAGCCGGGCCATGGTGGCAGGCGCCTTTAATCCCAGCTATTCGGGAGGCTTAGGCAGGAGAATCGCTTGAACCCAGGAGGCAGAGGCTGCAGGGAGCCCAGATCGCGCCACTGCACTCCAGCCTGGGCGACAGAACGAGATCCTGTCCCAAACAAACAAAAAATCACTAGCTGTCACCCTAGTCCGCACAGTTTGACATCTGTTGGAGCCGACGCGTAATTTCGGAGGCTGTAAAAATTCCCATCTCGGCCGGGCACGGTGGCTCAAGCCTGTAATCCCAGCACTTTGGGAGGCCGAGACGGGCGGATCACGAGGTCAGGAGATCGAGACCATCCTGGCTAACACGGTGAAACCCGGTCTCTACCAAAAAAGACAAAAAACTAGCCGGGCGAGGTGGCGGGCGCCTGTAGCGCCAGCCACTCGGGAGGCTGAGGCAGGAGAATGGCGTAAACCCGGGAGGCGGAGCTTGCAGTGAGCTGAGATCCGGCCACTGCACCCCAGCCTGGGCGATAGAGCGAGACTCCGTCTCAAAAAAAAAAAAAAAAATTCCCATTTCCTAAATCATACATCCAGGAGAGACAGCCGGTTCTATAAGGAGTGACTCCAGGAATCCTGAGCAGTCTACTGGCCTCACTTCCTCTTCCTTCTGGTAGGACCGATTTTAGGGCCGGTACCGGAAGTACTGGTCACAGCGACTTCCGGTCGTCTCCGTCTTAGCGGAGTCAACGAACTTTCTAGTGTTCCTGCCTACTGCACTAACTGAGCGACCAATTGATACCTAAGTGTAGCCGATGTTTTGAAATCTGTTCTGTAAGAGCCTAAGACAAATTGCGGCTACAGAAGCTGTTTTGAAATGCGCTTGGCTTCCAACTTCCGCAAGGGGAGGCAGCTGTTTCTTGTGTAAGCAAAGCCGAACTGAAAGAGGAGGAAAAGGAAGGAAAGGGATATGTGAAGATTTTATTTGGATCTTTTCCCCTCTTTAGGCTGGAACAGTTCTTCTAATTATTATTATTATTATTATTTTTGAGATGTAGTCTCGCTCTGTCGCCAGGCTGGAGTGCAGTGGCGCGATCTAGGCTCACTGCATCCCCCACCTCCTGGGTTCAAGTGATTCTCCTGTCTCAGCCTCCCGAGTAGCTGGGACTACCTACAGGCGGGCGCCACCACGCCCAGCTAATTTTTGTATTTTTAGTAGAGACAGGGTTTCACCATGTTGGCCAGGATGATCTCGATCTGTTGACCTTGTGATCCACCCGCCTTGGCCTTCCAAAGTGCTGGAATTACAGGCGTGAGCACCGCGCCCGGCTGGAATATTTCTTTACTATTTCTGGCACATTCCGGGGATGGGATAGCTGCGACTGTTTTGCATTGCCCTCATCAGCTGATCTGAATGCTCTTTCGTTTGCTGGGATCACAGCGTTTTGATCATGTTAAGACAAAAAAAAAGGGTCGGGGCATGAATAGGGGTAAAACTACAAGTGGCATAAAGATCGTTTTAAAATGCATACATCTGAAGAGCCCTCCTTCCATATGTGAAGTGTAATTTGAGGCAGTTTTCTGAATGGAATTGAAATACTCCGAGTTAGGAAATTACACAACCCAGTTAATTTATTTCTGTAGGTTACTTTGCAAGGGTAGGTTAGTAACTGTATACGTGGGCTGATTGTGCTAGTTACATCTGAAAGTATATTAATTCTGGCTTCTGAAGTGGAAATATTACGTGTGAGTGTTTCGTGTGATATGGAGCAGCAAGGTAAAAAACTAGATGTTGAGAACTGGTGCGTTTGTCTGCACAGGCAAAGGTTGGAGAAAAAAGAGAGTAAATCTGGGTAGGTTGAACAGACAGGCTGGAGCGTCTAGGAAGAATCATCCTGAGGCTGGTTCAGGTTAATTGAAAGTTTTAATAGAAAACTTTCAAGAAGGTGTACTTGCTGAACTGCTGGTACAGAAAATTATTTTTCTGAATAATAATTGTCGAAAGTAGTTTGCGTAGGTAGAGCAAACTACTCTTTCCTCAGCTTTTCATTCTCTTTTGGATTTTCTCGGCTTCTCCCAGTTTTCTACTTTGCATTGATTCTTTTTCCATTGTCAGCGTAGAGTAAGGTCAGGTGACTGAGTACAGAAAAAGAGATCAGTTGGCAACTCACCAGTGAATGTAACCATGTACAAAGGGAAACTGGATTATTAAGATGAAAACAAGATAATTTTCCCCTAAACTATACACCTATAATATCACAATCAGAAGGTGTCTTAGGAAGTAAGGCGGTTTTATTTACAAAAATATTTTTGTGTATATATTTGTTTATATAGATGGTCTTCCATAAAGAAGCAAGTACAAATAGCTACAATTGAACTGTATAAATCAACACAAGTGGGAATTAATTCAAGTTTATTTAGTGAATACTAAGTGCAAAATAGTAGAGTAAGAATTATTATTTTAACACTGAAGATAAAAGTAGATTAAATATTTCTGAATAGGTGCAATTCACTAGGTAGGTTATGTTAAGGACCATATTAAAAAGACATCCAAAACAAGAAAAGCCTAGATTCGCATAAAATAGCAATTTAAAAATAAATACCTACTTAAAATAAATTCAGAATCATCTTTTTTCTAGAGCTGATTTTTTTTTCTAACATGAGGTATTGTCTGACAGTACCACTTCTCTCTCCTAATTAAACATAATCAGGGTTCAGATTTGGTCAAGTAAAATACATTTCAGGTTCTCCAGATACTAGCATAATACTTGGTGTGTATTGATTACTTAAATGTAAATTCATGGAAGAGAATCCAGGTATATTTGTACAAAAACAGCACTTTTAATTAAGCATGTTGACATTCTATTGAGTATAATTTCTTCTTCTGTTCCTTTATTCCATTATTTATTCAAATTCTATTGCTGTTTTCCCTTGTGTAAAGCTGTGCATACTGTGTGTGCAAATATATAGAGAAAAAATTCAAGCTACCTTGTCAGTCACAATTTAAGGTTGACAAGTATTCAACTGAAGATCAGTTGAATTTTTTCCTTCATATCTCATTTGTTACGTGAGATGAATAGTTTTATTTGGAAGCAAAATAGAGGTTTTTAAGATTTTGCAGGGCTTATGAAGCATAATCTAAATAAACGGATTTGTGACTGTGTGCCTTTTGAGTACTCTGGGGTTTTCTATTACCGTTTAGTTGTTCCAAAAAAAATTTTTTTTTTTAATTTGAGACACGGTCTCTCTCTGTTCTCCAACTCCTGCTCTCAAGGGATCCACTCACCTAGGCCTCTCAAACTGCTGGGATTACAGGCTGAGTCACCCCATTGACCTTAAAGTATTATGAGGCTTTCTTGTGTTTGTAAAAATACTATCTTGAAATTCACAATAGTGGTATTTTTTATGATTTTGCTAGGAAAAAATGGGGGATGAATGGAAGCCCAATTTAGAAATGTTGAGAGGTCAATGAAAGTCCAATTGACTAATACGTTAAGAGGTTTTATATTGAGTTCTCTGAGAGCTCATTTGATTACAAAAGAAGTCTGCTTATTTACTAAGGGAGCAATGAATTATAATTAAGTTTAATGTTTAGGAACAGGCTTTTCTCATATTCTCCTAAGGCCAAGGGATATTTCACTCTGAAACTATTTTGAGGTCAAAGAAGTGCAGTGTTAACTGAAATGTCAGGAAGAAGGGAAACTCTTTTTCTGAGTTTTGTATGCACACTAGAGAAAATGTGTTTTTATGGGGTTTACTGGGAGTGCAAAGGCTTCAACCAAAAGTCACTGAAGTCCTAGAACATTGAGTTCAAATTTGGATATTTTGCGAGACATTTTTTCTTTATTTTTACTAAATTTTATTTTTCTATTTGTTTATATAAATAGCAAGCAGGGATTTTAGAGGGAAATTGGAAGTTCCTTTATGGTTCCTCATGTATTTAGTGACTGTTTAGAGGTGGAAGTGTGTATTTGTGGATTTTATTTTCAAGACTAAATTTTCAAATTCCTTTCAAATTTATGTATAATTAGATCAACCAAATATCTGTGGCAATTAGAGAGGATCAAATTGACACAAAATTTTGTACTGAAAGCATATTACACCTCAGGTGATCCACCCTCCTCGGCCTCCCAAAATGCTGGGATTATAGGCATGAGCCACTGCGCCCAGCCAACTTTTAAAAATAAATTTTCTTATTATTTGGTTGCCTAGTACACCGTGATTTTTTTTCTTTTCTTTTAAATTTAGGTTCAGGAGTACATGTGCAAATTTGTTGTATACGTAAATTGTGTGTTGCTGAGGTGTTTGGTGTACAGAATCTTTTGTTACCCAGGTAATAATCACAGTAGCAGTAAGTAGTTTTTTTATCCTCCTCCTTCTCACACTCTCCACCCTCAAGTAGGCCCTAGTATCTATTGTTCACTTCTTTGTACCCATGTGTACTCATCGTTTAATGAGTATAAGTGAGAACGTGCAGTATTTGGTCTTCTGTTCCTGAGTTAGTTCCCTTAGGATAATGGCCTCTTGCTGCATTCTTGTTGCTACAAAGGACATGATTTATGAGGTGATATGATTTTGATGTGTCTATAACGTTTTTGAGCATATCATCTTATATGGCTTTTTTAGTGGCTATTCTAGGTATCACATTATATACAGATAATTTATCATATTCTGTTTATGTCATGATTTCACCCAGTTGAGTGTAGTATAGCAATATCCCCTCTTTTTTTCCCTTTACTTCCCCATGTGTAATTGTCTTATTCCCTCTACATACATTTACAGCCATATTAGGCAGTCTTACAATTTTTGCTTCAGCATAATTTAGAAAAGTCAAGAGGAGAATAAAGCCTATTGTATTCACCTATTTTTTTGCTTACTGTGTTCTTCTTTCATAATGTTCCTGTATTCCTTTTTAAATGACATCCTTTCTGTTTAGATAACTTCCTTTTTAGCCATTCTTTTAGAGAAGGTCAACTGATAACAAATTCTCTTAGTTTTCCCTCATCTGATAATGTCTTGATTTCATTTATTCTTGAAGAATATTTTCAGTGGGTATGAGATTCTTCATTGACAGTCCTATTTTTTCAGCCCCTAAAAAATTGAGTTACATCCTTTGGCCTCCATGGTGTCTGACGAGAAGTCTTCTGCCATTCAAATTGTTTTCCCCCTAGAAGTAACACGTTACTTTTCTGTGGCTGCTTTCAAGAGTTTGCTTTGTCTTAATTTTCAGAAGTTTGACTACAGTGTGTCTTGGTGTGGATTTATTAGGGTTATCCTATTTGAGATTTGCTCAGCTTCTTGAACATCCAGGTTTGTCTTTTGCTAAATTTAGGGAGATTTTCACTCATTATTTCTTTAAGTACTTTTCAGCCCCATCTTCATTATCCTTTCCTTCTCTAATTCTGGTGACACAAATACTAGATCTTTAATTATTCTACTACAAATCCCTGATGCTCTGTTCATTATTTTTCAGTCTGTTATTTTTTTGTTCAGATTGAATCATTTCTTTTGTTCTATCTCTGATTAACTAATTCTTTCTTCTGTCCCCTTTATTCTACTGTTGAACATATCTATTAAGCTTTTCATTTTTGATTATAGTGTATTTCAGTTCTTTTATTTCTTTGCTGAGACTTATTTATTTAATTTTTTTTTTTTTTTTTTTTTTTTGCCTAGACATTACTGACCAAGAGAGACTTTCTATTCTTTATTGAGGCTTTCTAGTTCTTAATTTGTTTCAAACATGTTTGCAATTGTTTACTAAAGCATTTTTATGGTGGCCTCTTTAACATCCTTGTCAGACAATTCTAATATTTCTTTCATCTTCGTGTTGGCATCTCTCAATTGTTTTTTTTTTTTTCATTCACTTTGAGATCTTCCTAGTTCTTGGGATGACAAGTGATTTTTTAAATTGAAATCTGGACTTT